TTACAGATGATGCACATCCTCAGTGGGCAAATGCCACCATGACATCACCTGAAAAATATCAAGAAAAGGCCACAGAATTTTCCTTGTGGAAGTTCACTTTGACGTTCTCAAACATCTTCAACAACAAAAAAACAAACAAAAAAAATTATAACTTCTGAGCTGCAGTGGGAACTATATCATACATAGTGTCGTGTGCTTTGATTAATAGCCTACATCAGCAGAGCTGCTGCAGTTTTTCTCTTACAACACCAAAGGGCCAAATTTGAATCAGATTAATTCCTGTTTAATTGTAGCCAAAATGTACTGTGTTTGTTGTCCAATTTGTAAAGGCTGAGTTATTGACTGAAATATTTAAAATCAGCTGGGGGACCATATGTCTACAAGTTACAGTACTAACATTTTATTTCCCCCATGTTTTATGCTGACATTTCCATAACTATTCATGAGATTGATTATTGCAGTTACAACAAAGCAATTACTACATGAAATTATTTAAAGTGACAGTAAGAACCTAAATATAAACAGATTTTTAAATGACTGCACTAAAGCAGGACTGTGGGTTTTTCCCAACCTTGTTCTTCGAGTTCCCACCAAATAACAGTGTACCTTGGAAACCAGTATTTATATCAGAATTTGATCTAAATTACCAAAGCTTCACTTTGTAAAGACACGTGTGTGGTGCTTTACTGGCCTGCCTGCATTCTAGATCTGTATGTAGAAACAAACAAACTGCCAAAAAAAAAAAAAAAAAAGGAAACAAGGACCTCAAACAACTACAACTAATAGACACAAGAAACCATCCTTCTGTGTAGTGTTCCTAATGTCTTTGAGCTTCATTGTGCTGTGTCCTTGGTTGTTTTGAAAGTCATGCTTAAATAATAACATGTTGTTGCTCTTTAAAACCGCAGTGTCAAAACAATAACATCAAATTGTGCTGAAAAGATAATGGGTGTAAGTCCAACTTTTGGAAGCATTGGTTTCATTCGGTTGATCAGTAAAAATGTCAGTCTTTGTCTTAAAGGAATATAAAGATTTCTCTCCAATCCAAACTAAGGAGATTTAAATGCAAACATACATACAGATGAGATTAAGTTTAAAAGAAATTTTTTTTCCCTCGACTTTTCCCTGCTGAGGGGTGCAATCTCAAGGACAATGTAAGATGGGACTGTGGACAGTCCCATATTGTATATTCAACAATGGATCTACACACTAAATGAGATGGAAGGTAGAGAGATGCTGAAGTCACCTAGAGAAGTGCTGAGCACTGGTGCTTGATATAAAAAGACTCCAATGACAATTTGCACACATTAGCCACTAGCGGGCTGCGAGGCTGCATGAGTGTGCGGTGCCAAGTGTGAGAGGAGAATAAAAGGACATTGGCTTAAAAAGTACCTTGGTGAGCAGATTTCTGCCGGAGACATTAAGCAGCTGGACGTAAACCCGACCCATTAGTAGATTATATCTATTGATCATTGGTGCAGTATATGAGCAAAAATGAAATCACATCTGCAGTGTATGACGACACTGGCCATTTTAGCTGGTAGCTCAAGCATTGATTATATTCAACATAACTGTTTGTTGTTATCCTGCAGTGTTTACTTCCATACACGCACCTGTTGTGAAACAATGATTTTAGCAACAACACTGAGTGATATCTTTCCTTTAGCTACTAATTAAATAAACCTATTAAGTCCCAATAGACAAAGGCACCATTCAGCCGTCATCGGTTGCTCCATACTGCTTAGCTGTGACAGTGTTGCAGCCGGGTGCTTGTGTGTATGTCCTTTCCTCTGGTGATGTTTACA